GCCCGCCGCCCCGCTCCGCACGCGCCAGACGCCGCTCCGCCCGACGGCGACATGGGCGTCCTCCCGGTCCTGGAGGCCGGCGGCCGGCGCTGGCGGCCCCTGCTTCTCGCTCTCTTCCTCGCTGCGTCCCGAGGTAAGGTCGGCGGTGCGAGGCTGGGCGCTGGGGAAGGGCTCCGGGAGCGGACAGCTGGGAGCGGGGCGCAGGCCGGATCGGGCGTTCTGGGAGTCCCCTCAGCCGGACCTGACCCCCACCCCACCGCTCGGAGGCTGCTGGGACCGCTGGGCAGAGTGCACTGGCGCCTCTGCCAAGTGCCCCTGCCGGGCATTGGGTATATCTACAGGCTTTGACAGCTGCCCAAGCTGTAGGCAAGGCTTTTCCCTAAGGATTGCCTGTCCAACCTTTGCCTGCGCAGACAGCCAGGGCCGCAAGTAGCTTCTGCAGAGCAGGAGAGGAACAGGGTGGGGGCAGCCCCAGTGTGTTCTAGTGGATGTGACTGGCTTTTGACAGCTGTGGCATTTCCCTGCCCTGCTGGCCTCAGGGCTCCAGAATCTCAGAGGGTGCAGGGGGTATGCTCAGCGAGTGCCCTGTGTCCTGGTGACACTCCCGGCTGAGCCTTGGTGGGCACTGGTCAGGGTGGGCACTGGCCCACTCCTAGACATGGGCAGTGCTGCCCACCTGGCCCCAATCCCAAGGGCTTGATGGCCGGGAGTGAGCGGTCATCTGATTTCTGGCATACTAGCAAGGCTGCAGCTCAGGGACTAGAGTGGGGTTCTGGGGAGGATGGGTGACACTCTCCCAGCTCAGCCATCAGCCCCTTCTGGGTCCTTGGATAACTTACTCTGGCCTCAATTACCTCAGCTCAAACACAGAAGCCCCGCATAGGCAGGCGCCACTTTGCTCTTCTGAAGTCCAGACTATCACAACTCCAGATGGCGTCCTGGTCAGAAATAGAGGCTCCCAACGGGGTGGAGACAGAGGCCCTGGTACCCACATGGTGGCCCATCTTCTTGCTTGCCCAGAGCTGAAGAGGGTGGGTCTCAAGGGAAGAGGGAGCAAACAGCCTGTGGAACTAAACTTTATGGAAAAGGCCCAGGGAAAGTGTGAGTCATGCAGGGAGTCAGAGGGAGGCAGGAGGGAGGTGGCGGGCTTGGCAGAGGGACCAGTGGGTGGGTCAGAAGAAGAGAAAGAGGAGGATGGGGAAAGAGGGAGAGGAGAAGATTGGGATAACCTGGAAGACACCTCTGAAACAAACTGGAGTGCCTGTCGGCAGCGTGTTATCTCAGCATGTGGAGGCTGGCCTGGGCCTCTGATAAGGAGCAAGGGGCCCACACCCCACCGACAGAGCTGCGTGAGCCCTGGCCTGGAAGCTCCCCAAGATGATGGCTAAAGGGAGGGAGAGAGCTGGGGAGGCAGAGGATGGGTGAGTGGGGCAGTCCCAGCACTAAGGCCGTGGCTCGTGGCAGGGCATAGCTTCCAGAAGGAGCAGGGGAATGGTGGCAGGCAGGGACACAGTGACCTGCCCACCACAGATCACCTGCCCTGCCCCATCCTCCCCGAGTGACCCCATAAGTTCCTCTCAAGTACATTCATCAGGCCCTTCCTGTTTTCTTGTCCCTTCCCTGCCCTCATGTACCTGGGCTTCTCTCTGTTGAGAAGTCCCAGTTTGGGAAACTGAGTTATAGAGAACCAGGGCGTAGGGACCCAGCTCACAGATCATCCAGTAGCAGAGGAGCTCAGAACCCCTCGCCCTATATTATATTATAGAGAAGGCAGGAGCCTCCTCTCCCAGACGTCTTGGCTATTCAGACAACTTGGTGCACCAAAGGGCCATCTCTTCCTGAGCTCAGGGAGATCAGTAGGGCTTGATGTGGCTTTCCACTGAAAGGAGTCAGGAGAGGTCTCCTAGCTTTGAACTGCTCTGGGACTCAGTATTCTTCACTGTAATGGAGGCACCCTAATGGATATTCATCCAACTGCCTAGTGCAGTGAGCGCAAGGCAGATGGGAGGCCTGGCCGCCGGTGTGGTTGGGAGGGTCTGTGAGTTGGGAAGAATGCTCACCAGCCTGCTGAGGTGCTGGGTTGCCCTGGGAAGGATTGCTCAAGGTCAAAGCCCTTATGCCTGGGAAGGTGAGATGGAATGGCTGGTGCAGACCTGTTCTCCAGCTCTTCGGGCTGGGCCAACACTGAGGAAAATGGTAGGGGTGAGTATATTGCTCAGGAGCCCAGGAAACATCGAAGATACCCCCTTCTATGGTTGGACTCAGGGTGAGATGCATGGAGCCTAGGAAGCCAGGACCCAGCATACTCCAGGAGTGGGGGAACCTCCTCTTCCCCATAGGTATGCCCAGGACCTGTGGAAGTTACTGGCTTTGCCCTTTTATAGGCAGACTCAGGAGTCCCAAACTTGGGAACTAGCACATTCAAGCTCTTGGGGGTGCACTGGGGTTAGGGAGGAGAGACCCCATCTTCTGCTTCATGGTAAACTAGGTTGCAGGACCTTGTTGAGTAACCTGATGCTGCAAGCCTCTGACACAGCAGTGGCCAGCTCTTAGGAAGTCCGTGACCACCGCTCAGAGGCCCCAGAATGGAGAGAAACAGCCTTGAGGCCAGTCTGTGGGAATGAAGGGGCATCTACTCAATGCTAGGGACATCTAGGGGCCAGGGATACTGAGGAGCCCCTTCCTGAGCTGGGCTGGTTACTCCCATTTTCTCCCAAGCAGGGCAAGTGTTCCCTGCTGGGGCTTGACCTACCTGGGAGAGGTGGCCCAGGCAGGGGAGTGGGCTGCTGGGAAGCTAAAAGGGGCCACCTTCCTAAATGCACACAGTGTATAGGGTCTTAGGCCTGAAAGAAGAAAGGAAGGAAGGGGTCCTTGGGACCCATCTGGCCTGTTGGCACTGACTGAGCCCCACATATTGAGCTTAAGACTCCATATTTTAGGCCAACTATTGATCAAGGGTCAGTGGCCTCACCAGAGGAGGGTGAGCCAGGCATCAGCACTGCAGCTTCTGATGCCCAAAGCATCCCCTTGGCAGCAGTACTGGCATGCCCAAAGCCTTCCTGATGGCACACCTGTGTGGGAACAGTGGAGCAAGGAACCTGGGGGTTGGGTGCCCTGCCCACCAGGGCTTCCGTACAGCCCATTGCTTAACGGTTTTGCTTTGGAAGTCAATCAGGTGTAGGTTCACATTCCAAGATGGCCATTGACTGTTCTGTGACACTGGGCAAGTTACTCAGCATCCCCGAGCATGCTCCCCTATCTCTAAAACGGGGGCGATGATGGCACCTGCCTCAGAGGCTGCTGTGAACAGCCGATGAACAAACACTTAACCTGGTGCAGGCTCTTCATGAATGCTGTGTAAGATTATGTTATTTCTTGGCTTCTGGAGGCCACATTGGCTTTTCATCTGAGCTCCTTGCTGCCTACAGGGCCCTACAGAGTGCCTAGGGCATGGGAAGGCATTGGCTGACTTCCCTGGGATCAGACTCTCCGGAGTCCAGCCACCTGTAGGCACTCGTAGGCATTTACTGTCTGAAATGTCCACGGAGGTGCCTGCAGGTTCTCCTCTTAAAGTTGTCCAGAAATGGGGACGTTGCAACTTCAAGGCAAACTTGGCCCAGGGTTTTTTTTTCATCTCAGTGGGCTCTTTCTTGCATCTGATGTTTACATAGAGCATATTTACTTTGGCTGACATCCCCAGAGACAAAGACAGTGGACACCACTTTGCCCATCAGTAATTCAATAATGAAGTTGCTCTGCTACTGCCCAAGCAAGCCCAGTTTCTTTGAGCTTCCTACATAGGATCTTATTTCCCCTGGGGACCTAGGGTCAAGTCAAGCCTCTGCTGTTCACTCATCTTGGGACCACAAACACACACTTCCCCTATATCTGTGCAACAGGCAGGTTGGGAGGCAGGGTCTCCGTGAGGCTGACCACTCCCTCCTGCACGGTGATCCCATGACAGCGTATCCCCAGCTTCAGTTGTTTGCTCACTGCCTTTGTGATTTCTGCAGTATCTGCCTATCTTCATATTTACTTATTTTTTTCTTTAAATCTACTCATGCTTTTGTTTGAGTAAGTAGATTTTAAAAGGAAACTTTATATCACTGCCATAAGTGGAAAGCCAGCATCACTTGCCATAAATAAGACAAAATCACAAAAGTACACAATAGGAACACCAAATAAGGGTATTAAGTTCTAGTTGGAAACTTTAGCCTTGAGAAGGCTCCGAGTCTGAAACCTCCTGTTGTCCCTTGCAAAATAAAATAAAATAAATAACAAAAGAAAAAAAGGAGATTAACAAGTGAAAGAGATGTTTTGAAGACACATTGGTACCAAACTGGGACTTTCTCTTTGATGTAATCAGGACTGAAAGAGAATTGAAAAGGGAATAACCTTCTCTCTATATGATTCAACGTTATTTAATGTCGTAAAACCAAAAGTAAAACTACTTATGTTATAGACGCTGCCAGGCAAGCTGGGCCCTCATTGGCCAGCCATCTGTCCATTTTCAGGAAGGAGGTGGGGCCTCCAGTCAGTCCCTGGTTATCTCCAGTCTCTAGAGAGTAGTCAGATGGCACCAGACATCCTGAGGCTGGTTACCTGGGTTCAAATCCTGGCACCACCACTTACTAATTGTGAGACTCTAAGCAAGCTACGTAACCTCTCTGTGCTTCAGCTTCCTCATCTGTAAAGTGGAGATGATAACAGTACCTACCTCACAGGGTGGGAGGGTTAAACAAGCGAATCATGTAAAAGGGCCTAGAACGATGCCCGGCACAAAGCTTTTGCCTGGCTACTACTGCTACCACTAAGCCTCCTGCACCGATGGGAGGGAACAAAAGACTTGAATCTGAACTTTAGGAAATCTTCTCAGTATAGGCTCCTGGGGTACCTGGCTGCAGCTGGTAACCTGGTGGCACACAGTCTCCCTCAGGGAGGCACTGGGACTGTGGGAAGGAGTCATCTGGAGAAGCATCCAGTGACCAGGGCCTCTGGCCAGCTGCCCAGGCCCTCCCGGGGAGGCATGCTAGGCTCCAGCCCCGGATGCGTGAATGCTTTCCCAGGGTGCTGGAAGTGCCGCTTCCTCCAATACAGCCTGGCTTCCCCTTCCCGGCTTCCTTGGGCTGATGTGAATGGACACTTCCTGCGGGGGCAGGTATCAATAAACACATCTGAGATGCCTTTGTCCTCTCTGGCCAAAGAGCTCCGCGGGCAGACTTGCTGGCTTTAGGCCCTCAGCCTTCGCCCTGGGGCACTTCCTTTCTTAGCACTGGCAGACTCAGTCCTGATGGGTCCCTGCCTCTGTTTCCCTCTGAGCTCTGCATCTCCAAATAGACAGTAGGCTTTTGCCTACAGCACCTGTGGACCATCCTGGGGGTGTTGCCTAGCAGGGAGCTGGAACCAGGTTCTACGTCTGTTTGGGGCCCCCAATGAGGACAAAAACCAGGCCTTTTGCACCCAGTGCAGGGCCAGCCACAGCAGGTGATTAATAACTGTTTACTTGGCAACTCCTAGCAGCTGGACAGAGTTCAGCTGTTTGGGTGGGGCCTTCTAGGGCTGACTAACCAAGTTGGGGACCCACCTCCAAAGGCTGGGTGTTGCCTTGGTGACTGCAGGCTACACTCACGCCCTGTCAGGGAAAATACGCAGGCTCATCTACACCCACACACACCTGTGCATGCATACCCACAGGGGTTCACGGGGGGGGGGGGGGGGGGGGGGGGGGGGGGGGGGGGGGGCCTGCTGGGCCAAAAGAGGTAAGGGTCACACAAACTGGCATCCTGAGAAGATGCCAGATGAGCTCTTTTCTTCTGTGCTGGGACAGAATCTTTCACCAGAGGCTGAGCCCCACCCATGGCTGAGAGTGCCACAGCCGCTCTGCCAGAGGCCTGGCTCATGCAAGGACTTTGCTAAATATTTGTGGAATGAAAGAATGATGTTTTCAGTTTGGGCCTGAGGTCAACTCGCAGTCAGTTCATTCTTTCTAAATAGCTGAGTGATGAGGTGTCGGCCCTGTCTGCTGGAGGGGCGGCTCTTCCTGTCTGCAGTGTGGGGTTCCTGGGGTGTGGATCTCAGCTCAGCCACATTGGGCTGCGTGGCCCTGAGCAAATCGCTTGACTTCTCTGGATCTATTTCCTCATCTTTAAAATGGGGATGATATGTTGGTAACACCAAAGTCAAGGGTTTGGACCCCCGTACTGGCCAGGCACCAAACAAACCCAAACAAACAAACAAATAAAATGGGGATGATAATAGCCATGTCAGGGGGTGTTATGAGATTTAAATGAGACAAGTATAAAGTGCTCAGCAAGAGCCTAACACATAATAAGTGGTCATTAAACAGCCCTCCCCTCCTACCACAAGATTTCAGAGCTGGAGGGGGCCTAGGGACATGGGGAGTCTCTCAAGTTGAGATGAAGAAGGGCAGGTCCAGAGAAGGATGGCACCTGTCCAAGGACACACAGCAAGGACACAGCTAAGTGGGCATTGGGATCCAGGATCTTGTTGCCCAGGCCAGAGTTGTAATCCTGAGACCCAGAATTTTCCTGGTTCATAGCATTCTTCCTCCAGGTGCCCCTGCCCCCTTACCCAGTGGCAGGTAGGGGCCAGCCTCAGAGCACAGCACAGTGACTGGGTGGTTCCCATCTGGCACATGCTCAGGCCCAGGCTCGGGGTCATTTTCCTGTCGCACATGCTCTTGTCAACCCTGGAGCCAGGGGCCTTCCTCCCCACCCTCTTCCCCGGTCTCCGACAATGACCCAGGTGTCTGAAAGGATCTGCCCCTGACAATAAGCCACATCCTTCCACCAAATAATTATAATTCCAGCCGGGCTATACACATTCCCTGATAACACATGTGCTTGTGCGCAGGCGTGGAGGCTGGGGGGCGTGTGCAGGCCCCTCTGCGTGTCTATGTACTATTTTCCCCAACGCCGTGCCCTTGAGTTTCCTCCCAAGGGCAAGCTGCTCTGGCCCTTATCCAGGCTACAGTCTCTGACACAACAAACGAGATGTTTTCTGCACCTTTTGCTTGAAACTGAACACTCAGCCCTGCCCTCCCAACCTCCCAGTACAGCTTCTTCTTTTTTCCAAAAGGGGAAGAGATCCTTTTTAAGGCCTATGAGGTAGGTGACATGTGTGGGGGGTGTTGGGGATTGAGCAATGTCCCCTCTCCTGCTGTCCCTGAATCCTGCTTCCCTCTGTGTCCCCAGTGGGTTGTTAAGGAAATTGCCTCCAGGGCTGAAAATCCCTTCCTACCTGCTGTGGATGCAACCCTGGGGTCATTAACACCATTGCTTGGACTCTGAGGGCTCTCAGCCTGGTGCTCTGCCCCACCTCCCTGTTCACATGGACACCCAGCCTACCCACAAGCTAGCCCCAGCTTCTCACATCTTGGCCCCACCCCATCCACACCTCTGCCCACTTAGTGTCCCCTCCCCCAGCTTGGTACTCCACTTCTTGCTTTTGCCCCCACCTCTCCTCTGCCCAGCCCCCTCCACCCACCCTAGGCCTGAGACCTCCCGACATCTGAATTTAGCTCTGAGCCCCGGAGTGGTAAAGGGGGATTCTTCCTGGGAGCGCCTGGGAGAACCCTTTCCCTAAGTACTCCCCACCTCCACTTTCTGGCAAAGCCCTCGTTTTGCAGCCACACCCACCTCACACAGGCCTGTGCAGGGAAGTCCAGGCTGTCATTGACAAAGCCAGGAGCACAGCCAGGCTGCAGGGGTGAGAGCAATGGGTTAGCAGTCAGAGGAAAGTTGGCTAGTCCCTGCTCTGCCGGGTTTCTGCTGGGGACTTTGGGTGGTTCATCTCCTCTCTGAGCCTGAGGGTCACATCTGTAGAACGATGGGCTTGGGCAGTAGAGTCCCACCCCCTCTAGCCCAAGGAGCCAGTCTCATGCATCACAAACAAATGTCCATGGGGTCAAACAAATATGGTGAGAGAGTGAAGCAGGCCAGGTGGGACATTAGGGAGTAGTGGGGACTGTGGCAAACTGGAACACCAGTGTCCCATCTAAAGGGGAGGTTGCTACTCAGCTCCAGCTAACATTGCCTGTGGGAAAGCTTGTGTAGCTTTATATTATGAATTTTCAAAGTGAAGCTACCAGTCAGAATTTTCATATCAAATTCCTAGTTTTTAAATGTTGGCAATCTCAAAAAAATGTAAACTATGTTGAGGTACTCAAATAAAATATGTCTGAAGGCTTGGATGTGGCCTGTGGGATTCCAGTTTCTGAACTCTTTTCATCACTATAGTGTCTGGGTGCCTGAGTTTAATTCTGGCTCTAGCACTTGCTTTGTGATCTTCAGTGAGTTACATAATCTCTTCATGCCTTAGTTTCCTCATCAATGAAATGGGAATGAAAACCACACCTACTTATAGGGTTGTTAGATATGTCCATTAATCCCTTAGCATAGCACAAAATACATGCAATTTCTCATTACAGTTCTAAGTAGGTTCTGCTTTACCGGAGTTCATACGCTCTGGAACTTCACTCAAACCACGTTCCCTTTCTGGGTCTCTGTGTTCTGTCTGAAGAGGAGACTGATATCCTGCCAAATGAGTTCTGAAATCTCTGCTCACCTTGGCAATGAATTTCTAAAAGTCTGGACTTCCTAGACATGGCTCCCTCTCCTATGTGGGTGGAGTGAGGGCGAGGCTCTGACATGTGTCTGTCTTCCTTACCTTCTAGGACCTAAAACTCGAGTCGTGCAGACACACTCTTTGGGGCTATTGTTTGCTACCTCCTGATAATCTCCTTTATGTAAGCAATACAGGATTGTATTGATATGATAATTACAGTTATCAGTCATTCACAACTTAGTCAGAAAGAGTTTGAAGCCAGCTTCTCCATTCCATTGTGTTTTTCACTCCTAGGAAATGTTTCTTGAGTTGCTGCATGAATTAGAGACCCATCTAACTCCCATGTATCAAGCACCAACGACTAGCAAGGCACATTCAGAATACTTCATATAAATTATTACCAATCCTTGCCTCAACTCCACCAGGTAGATGTTTTCATTTCTGTTTTATTTTTTATGTTTTTTCCCCTTTTTGTCTTTTTTACTGACCGGCAACGGGATCGCAACCCTCGGTGTTGCGCCCGCACCGCGCTCAGCCAGTGAGCGGGAACCGGTCTCCACATGGGATCCGAACCCTTGGTGGGAGCACCGCCGCGCTTCCAAGCGGCGCACTCTCCAGTGTGCCACTGGGCCGGCCCCATTTCTGTTTTATAGTGAGCCATCTGAGGCTCAGAGTCTGGGTGACTCACAGCCACTGGACTCCTGTGCAGGCGGGTCCTACTCCAGAAGCCACCCCAGGCTGCCTCCCTCTTGACTGAGCAAGGTTGTCAGCTCTGCTGGTGGGCCCCTGCCTGCTGCTGAGGGTCCTGGGCTCTAAGGGCAGGGAAGGGGCGTCTGGAGGAGGAAGTACTGTTATCTTGGTTTCAGGCAGTGCCCCTGGCTGGGGCAATGAAGAGGACATATCAGTTTGGATTCTGTACAGATTTCCAAAACCTCCTTCCCTGTCTGCTGGGCCTACAACAGCCCCTGAGATGCCAATTAAGATAAAAATAGCACTAATGTATAAGAATCATAGCCATCCCTCTCATGTCTGCAGAGGGCATTAGAGCTCACATCTTGTGTCCTCGACTTTCCCTCATGCAGTCCTCTCACAACCCCGTGTGGTAGCTAATATTTTTCTCATAGCACAGATGAGCAAACTGGGGTTCACACAACTAGACAGAGGAGTGGGGAGTCTAGTCCTGGTATTCTGTTTTCAAAGCCAGTGCTTTTGAGAGTTAATACAGTTAAATGCTGAAGGATTAGGGTAGGGTAAAGAGCACCAGGGCGTTGCTTCATTTGCTTATTGAAAAAAAAAAAAAGACTAGAAAATATTTCTGAGGTTGGGTGGGAGGCAGGTGCATGGATGACAGTGCCTTTTATGCATTCCCTGTCCCTGTCCCTCAGACACCTGGGGTTTTCCTTCTTCCCCATCACCTTGCCTAGGGCACCCTTTCCACTTGCTGAAATCCTATCTGTCCATCAAGTCCAAAGACCCTTCGTCTCTCAGAAAGACCCCTGACCATCCCCAGAAGGCTGTTTCCTCCCTCCTCCAAGTGCCCTGAAGGCTGGCACTGGTTTGCCCTCTGCCCGTGGGGTTACTTCATCACAAATGCAGGCCTTGCCTGCCCAGCTAGATCGTCAGCTCCCAAGGGTGAGATATAGCACCTGGCATAGGCCTTGCACACGCAGGTCCTCTGTTAGTGCTCACTGATAAGGAGATGGGAAGGCATGTTCAGTCCTAGGGGTGGGAAAAGGCAGAAGGTGCTGATGGCCCCCAGGGGGTTGACTAAGGACAACGAGCTGCTGTTCCAAACAGGCTATCTGCTCCCCAGCCTGCCTCCCACCCAATAGTGCTGGGCATGGAGGCCGGGCAGTGCAGGATCCATCCTGGGTGGAGCCATGGCACCTGTAGTGCAGAGAGTTGGAGCCAGGACGCATGCTCTAACCAGGAGATGGACACATCCTGGCTGGGCCAGTCTGTCACCTGCCCTGGAGTCTCTTTGCCTTGGCCAGTATCCAGGGGCACGCCCATTTGGGGAATCTCCTGTGGCTCCTCCCATGCAGACTGGGATGGAGTCGGGTTCCTGTACTAATGAAGAAGCTGAGGCTTGGGGAGGTCAGCTGCTTTGCCCAGGGCCTGCAGCTGGGGCACTGGGAGTGATGCTGGCTCAGGCAGGTGATGGGGTTCTCTTCTCTCTGAGTAGGTCTGGCGGTAGCCTTCAAGGTTGCCACGCCGTATTCCCTACATGTGTGTCCCGAGGGGCAGAACGTCACCCTCACCTGCAGGCTCTTGGGCCCTGTGGCCAAAGCGCACGATGTGACCTTCTACAAGACATGGTACCGCAGCTCGCGGGGTGACGTGCAGGTCTGCTCGGAGCGCCGGCCCATCCGCAACCTCACGTTCCAGGACCTTCACCTGCACCACGGAGGCCACCAGTCCGCCAACACCAGCCAGGACCTTGCCCAGCGCCACGGGCTGGAATCGGCCTCCGACCACCATGGCAACTTCTCCATCACCATGCACAATCTGACCTTGCTGGATGGCGGCCTCTACTGCTGCCTCGTGGTGGAGATCAGGCACCACCACTCAGAGCACAGGGTCCACGGGGCCATAGAGCTGCAGGTGCAGAAAGGTGAGGGCATCCTGCATGTGACAGCCTGGGGAGTGTGAGCTGCTGTGTATCTGATGGTGTGACCGTATGTTACACTGCTGCACTGTGTGTGAGGCCATGTGGGTCACACTGGGACTCCAGGGGTGATGTGTGAGACAAGGTGGCTGCGAGTATGAGGTCAGCTGGTGTGATGGAGAGGGAGGGCATACGTGGCTCCATTTGTGACAGTGGGCTGTTTAATGTGAGAGGGTTACGTGCCTGGGCTCACAACAACACCAGGCTGTGGGGTATAGGCGGCAGCATGACTGCTGTGTGCCCTGAGGCACTCAGTCGGTGGATGACTGAATGTGTGTGTGTCCATCTGTGTGAGAATGCAGAGGCTGATGGACTGGACAGAGGTGTGGGCGCCAGCAGGTATTCATGTGGCCCTGGGGCAGCATGAGAAGGGGCAGGATGAGAACATGCCAGGGTGTGTGTGTGCACACGTGTGCAGGCTGCAGCTGGGTCGACACTGCTGAGTGGGCGCTGGCAGGAGTACCTGTGTCAGGAGGGGTACTCCAGCTGGACAAGCTGCCCTGGTCTCCTGGGCCTGACGCCCACCTAATGGCCCTTCTCTTTGTCCCTACAGGCAAAGACACAACATCCAAATGCATCGCGTACCCACCCGCCCCTCAGGAGAGTGAAAGTAAGGGACCGCTCTCTTGCCCCTTCCAGATTCTCTGTTCTCTGCCCTCATCCCGAACCCAGCCCCCATTCAGAACCCTGATCTCATCACCCCAAGCCCGAGGGCCCCCCAGTCCTCATCCCTCGCTGCTGCCCACCCCATTTGCTTCCTCCTCGGCCGCAGCCCCAGAAGCCCACTCCCCTTTCAGCTGGCCCCCAGAGTCTCTGCTCCTGACTTTCTGCAAGTGCCCCATGACAGGTATTGGGTGCCACAGGCTGCTGAGCTTGTTTTCAGTGATGCTGCTCCTGCCCACCAGCCCTCTGCAACCTGGAAGGCTGGAAGGCTGTGGGGGTCCTCTTGGTTTAGGGTTCAAATACTTAAAATTTCCTTGTTCTGTGTAGGGGCGGGGAGAAGGGAGAGGCTCAACAGGTGATAGAACTACCTTTCCTTGAGCTACTGTGTGCTGGTCACTGTGCTAAGTCCTTTTGAGTTTTATTATCTCAAGCGTTCTTATAAGAACTCTATGAAGTAGGAGTCACCATCTTCACCTACATACATGGGAACAGAGGCCCAGAGAGGTGGCACAGCTGGGGTTTGGCAGCAGGTCTACTTACCTCTGCCTACTTCGCCTTCTTCCCAGTTCAGGGAGGAGACTGGATGCACAGGGCAGTGGGTGGCAGTCAGCCCTCTGGTGTTTCTCCAGAGAGGTGCCCTGCAGGGTAAGTGGGGCACTGCTCTTAAAGGGTGCCTGGGCACTCAAAGGTCGGGTGAGAATGCCCAGGAGCTTGGAGACAGCAGGCAAGGGGGAGATGTTTTAGGAACACCCCCTTTTCTGAGAGGAGGGGCCTTGGCTTCCACATTGTCCTGTCCACCCAGTGTTTATCAGGCATCTAGTATGCACCAGCCCCCGCCCAGCCCCTGGAGATACACATGTGAAAACTGCATCCCTGGCCTCCAGGATGACATGAGCTAGGACTTAAGCTAGAATGGGGGGCAGCTGAGCTACGGCCCCAGCCAAACCCCAACACGAAGGCTGTGGTGACTTTTTTCTCAAAGTACTCTTTTTTCAAACCAACAAACAGGCTGGCCAGGAGCAAAATTAGAACACGCATTTTCCCTAAGGACTAAGAAAGTCTTTGGTTCAAGCCCGTCTCCTTGCACAACACACAGCCTGAGTGTCACCTCAGCATCAAGCTGCTACTGTCCTTACTTCCTCCAGGGGTGGCTCCTGCTTAGGTCCCCTTCCTTCTCACAACCATGCACGCACACATGTGTTCGTGTACAGGATAGGGTGACCAACCTGGAGGGACACGCGTGATGTTTACTTCCCCGTGGCTCCTTCCACTCTGAGCAACACTCAGTCCCACTTCCTCTGTTGCGCTGCCACAGAGCTGCAAGGACCTTAGAGACCATCACCTCCATCACTGCCCCCATGTCACAGGTGGGGAAACTGAGGTCCAGGCAGGTGAAGGGACTTGCTCCCAGTCTTTCAGACCCAGAGCCACAGGGGATGCCAGAAAACCTGACTCTCAGTGTGCACACCCTGCCTGAGCACCGGCTGCCTTCTCTTGTTGATATGACTTTATGGTTTCAGTCTTGGGGACAGAGACAAGAGATGTCAAAGAGGACAGTGATAGAGAGACCAGATGCAAAATGTAGAGGGAGCAAAGGTTTGGTTCACTTCTGATCTAGACTCTAGAGAAGCAGCTGCTGGAATTCAGGGAAAAGGATGCACCCGGGAAAACCCAGGGGTCAGGCTGATAAGAGCCCGAGGGTGAGGCAGAATCCTTGAACTTGACTGCCAAGAGTGGGTCAGACTTCCTTTGCTGGGCATCTCTGCCCTTGGGTTTTGACATTTTCATCCCTCTCCAGTTCATGGGATGTGAAGCCTCACTCTGGTCCCTACTTCTCTGAGCTACTGTCCACAGCAAACTGGCTCCTCGAGGGCCCAAGGGACATGTTTGCTTCTGTCCCAGCAGTTGAGGGCAGAGGGGTGGCTTCAATGACCTCTGAAGTCCACTTCCAAACCCTTGGTTCTAGCAGTCTGGAGAAACCTGGCCATACTTTTGGGTGGGGTATGGGGGCTTTGGATAGCACCTCCACTCTCAGAGTGCCATTTCCGCACTGAGCAATGGGAGCAGGTGTGTCCCTTTTTTTCCAACAGGGAGGCAATCAGTGTTGTCTGAGGGGTTGAATCAGGGATCAAAAACTCATATACCCCAGGACCAGGAGCCAGTGAGCGAGACAGGAGGGTGAAGTGGAGACTGCGGAGAGCACCCAGGCGTCAGTCTGTAAGAGCAGACCCAACTGCTGTGTCAGGACGGGGCCCAGGGTTTCCAGGACCACTAAATTTTCAAGTGAAGCCAGAAGCCAGATTTTACAAGAACTCTCTTAACTCTGAATTTTAAAACGTTGTCAACTAATAAAAAATAAATTAGGTACTACGTGGGCTGTGGTTGCAACCTGAGTCCATCCTAAAGGCAATGTGGTAAAGTGGTGAAGGGCACAGACCCTGAAATCTGCCACGTTGCTTAACCTCTCTGTGCCTCAGTTTTCTCATCTGCAAAATGGAGATGATGATTATAATAGCACTTATTTTCCAGGGTTGTTATGAGGCTAAAATGAGGTTCCAAACATAAAGCACTAAGAACCATGCCTGGCGCAGTCAGAGTAAGTGCTGTGTAAGTGTTGGCTGCTATTTATTCTTTTTTTTTTTTTTTTTTTAAAAGATGACCGGTAAGGGGATCTTAACCCTTGACTTGGTGCTGTCGGCACCACGCCCAGCCAGCGAGCGAACCGGCCATCCCCATATGGGATCCGAACCCGGGGCCTTGGTGTTATCAGCACCGCACTCTCCCGAGTGAGCCACCGGGCCGGCCCGGCTGCTATTTATTCTTGATGTGGAACTCTAGGCCTGTCTTTCCAAGTCGACTTGTCCATTCCCCTTTGCCAAGGCAGGATGGTAAGTAGATGGTAGCAGATGGTAGGCACGGTCCCGTTTTCTAACAGTTGTAGAAATATTTGCCTGGTGACCCATGTCACTGTTCTGGGTGCTGCTCTCCACTATTGCTTACCTCTGGAAAGATCCCAACCCCTGCTCTCTCTAAGCCAGGTGTTCAATAGCCAGCCTTGGGACCTGATCAGATAATGATGCTTCTGGCCACGAAGTCCTTTGAGTTTTCCTTCTCTAACTGCAGCCCAAGCCTCTTAATGTTATCCTTGGGACGGAGGACAGTAGCTAGATTATGAAATGATATGAAAGTCCAAGTCGGCCTGAGGTGGGGGGAGGTGATGGGAGTGGGAGGGAGTGAGATTGGGGAAGTTGGTGCCCGAGCAGCTCCTGCACTGCTGAGGGGCTGTGGTTTTTCACTGAGCCCAGGGAAGGGGGATGGGATAGCCCATCTATTTGTGAACCCCTCTTCACCCCCCAACACAGCAGGATGTGCTGTCTGCTTTCATTCAGTCTCCTCCCTGGGGAACCTCAGCAGCCAGACTCCCTCCTCTGCATATATCCACTGGGTTCCAGGCAGACCCTGGACAAAGACACCCCACCCCCACTCTGTGGCATAAGGGTCTGCCTGGCACTCTCCTCTGCCGGCGGCTGATCACCTTCCTAGAATGGGCCTGGCTCTGGAGGGTGACCAAGCACTCCCCTCCTCCAGCGGGTGCCAGACTGAACACTGGCCACGCAGAGGGGGAGGGTAGGCTTTGCAGAGGAGCCCATAGCTTCAGAGGGCAGCTGGGCCTGTGGACCTGTCCCCAAACTCTTCCTCCCTGCCACCCCCGGTCCCAGCCCCAGCTCTCAGCCCAGGTTGTAAGGACACCTCAGGCTCTGAAGTGAAACCAAGTCCTGATCGCAGAGGGGAACTCCACCTGGGGACGAGAGTCAGGCTCATCCCCAAAGCAGATGAGGAGCTAGAATTCATGAGCACCTGGTGAACTGCACTAAATGTTGCTTAGTAACAGTCCAGAGAAGACCTGCTCTGATGGTTAGAAAAGAGTGTGGCTTCTCAGATAATTTTGCACACTAAGGTCCTTTGATGGGGTTTAGAAACCTGAAATGTCTGAGTTATAGAATGTTTTTACTTTCAATATTCCACAGCAAAATGCAGCCCTGCTAAGGCCTGCAGGGAACCTGCCGTAATGTGGAGCAGAACTTGCTTTGTAATTAGCACAGCAACTGTTCCTGTACCAGTGTGTACTTCTAAAGTCCTGAAAACAGTTTGTTCTCTCCAGTGTGTGAACAAACCCCTGAAAGCTTGTTTACGTCATTGCGTTGTTCAGCAATACAATAACATAAAAAGTGCCTTTATTCCCAAATAAACAGTGCAAAGGCAACCTTTAGACCCAGCATATCCCCTTCCCAAAGCTCTCTAGGGGTGATGTTGACACTGTGACAAGCACCCCAGCTCATCTTTTGGCAGAGGGAAGGGCTAAAATCGGGAAGGAAATGTGTTTACGCTGGTTGTGGTTCTGAGGGCACTTCTGTTCCCAGCTAAACTCCTGGAGTCAGCAGATGGAGTAAAATAAGTCAAACTTCCCCATGCTGTGGGCTTGTGAAGCACTGCAACATTTTTGGGGGGCAATTTAGCAATAGCCTAAAAGAAAACACATATTCTTTTTGGCTCAGCACTTCGTCTGCTAGGAAGTTACCTACAGATTTACTTGCCCGAGTGAGCAGAGACGTGTGCATGAGAAGTTCATTGCTGTGTTATTAGTTATGTTGAAAATGGAAGCAAACAGCATGTCCACCAATAGGGGACTGTTTCAATAAATTCGCGGTGAGCTCTGTGATAAAGCCCCAAATAGAATGACACAGGTGTCTTTATCGATATAGAGAGGTGTCCAAGTTATGAGCAGAGAGAAAAGCAATTGTCATGTGATCTCACACCTGCTGCATATGCAGGGAATATATCTAGATGGGTACATCAGGGACTGCGGACAGCGATTATCTTTTTGGAGGGGGCCTGGGTACAGGGAGAGGAAGAGACTTTTGAATATTTTTTTTAACTTGTACTTTTTTTTTTTTGTAATTTTAAAAGTTTAAAGTTTAGAAATGTCAGGCAAGCACTCACGTTTCTCTAGTTCTCACCGCAAATGTTTTTCCCCAAGGCATGTGTGTGAGATCAAGGGGTGAGGATTCTAGAGGCCCCACCCCATAGCTAAGGGGTCTCTTGGGGTGAGTTGGGGCTTTTTATTTTTTATTGTGGTAAAACATATAAAACATAAAATTTACCATTTTACCCATTTTCCAGTGTACAATTCAGTGGCATTAATTACAGTCACAATGTTGTCCAACCATCACCACCATCTATTTCCAAAACTTTTTCATCCCTTGCACTCCTTTTGACCTTGAACTCCGTGGCATGGAGTCTGTAAAGGGCCTGTTCCCCTTTTTCAGGGAACAACCTGCAGCCCAGGGCAGTTGAGCGGTCCCTTATGTGCTGGGATGAGGACTCCGTTCTTTCTCTTCCCTGGAACCGCCTCAGCTATAAGCAGCGGGCCTCATTTCTGGGTGCTCTGGGCCCACTTGGGGACAGGCATAGAGCTTGCTTTGAAGGGGATCCCTAGGCCTTCCGTGCCTTTGTAGGTCACTGAAGGTCAGGCTGTAGGGCCCTGGGTAAAGGTGGTTCCTCTCGCTGCACGGCCTTCCCTCTCTGGGCCTCAGTTTCCCCTCAGGGGGAACAGTGGAAATGGGACCTCACCTTGGCTGCCTCTTTGCCCTTTCAGGCATCACAGCTGCGGCCCTGGCAACGGGTGCTTGCATCGTGGGGATCCTCTGTCTCCCTCTCATCTTGCTCCTGGTCTACAAGCAAAGGCAGGTGGCCTCCAACCGCCGTGAGTATCCCTGCCCGCCCAGGGTGAGCGACCTGCCCTAGCCCCAGCTTAGCTCCTGGGATTAGCAAAGGCATGAGGTAGGCACAATTCCTGTCTGTTCCAGAAGTGGGAGCTGCACTCCCTGAAAGGAGCCAGGCTCAATGGCCCAGAGAGGAGAGGACCCAGGCCTGCCATGTCCAAGGCCCGAGTGCCCACCAGCCCCTTTGGCTCCTGGGCAGCGCTGGCTTGGTACTCTATAAACACCTGTTGAATGAACGAATAATCATGTGGAGTAACTCCAATTGGTTTATAAAAATGCTGCCACTCAGAGATCCTTTGGGAACCTGCTCTAAGGTATAGGTGGGCTCGTTTTGTAATTAGTAGCAATCATTGGGATAAAAATGACCTTTGGAATATTAGAAGTGGGAGGGGTCTTAGAGATAACATAGTTCAACCCCTTCCTTTTACTGATGAGAAAGAGCAGTGGGGTTAAACAGCTAACTGGATGTTACATAACTCAGTAAGTGGCAGAACTGGGCTCCACCTCTGAGCTTTCTACTCATGCTCTTTCCAGGGAATATAATTCCACCATATAATCAAAATGCTCATCAGCGTGAGCACCGTAGCCAACAGCCCCAACCGATACGGCTGCTGTGCTAGGCACTGTGGCAACCCTGTTATAGACATTCTCTCACTTATTCCTCAGAACAGCTCCAAGAATTTGGTACTACCATTGTCCCCATTTTACAGATGAGCAAACTGAGGCTCAGAGAAGTTGTGTAACTACCTAACGAACCACGCAGTGAATAAGTGGTGGAGCCAGGCTTCAAGTCACGGCCACAAACACCTTTCACTTTCCCTCCTCCCCAGGTGACAGTGCCCCTTGCCTGGCCTCTGACCCCTCCCGTGAGCCTGGTTAGTCTGACTCCTCCTAGAGCAGGAGGGGGGGAGTCCTTTGCCCTCGCACCCCTCCCTGGCCTCTTCCCCTCTGCCTGGCCACAGAAGGTAACTGAGGGAGGACTGCTCTGTCACCAGGTGGCTTTGGCTCACACCTGATTTCCTTTGGCTGGCCCCTTCAGCTCCCCTCCCTCCTGGGGGCCCCATAATGGGTCACTCGGGGGCTGTGGCCACGTCACCCTGACTCCCATATTCCTCTCACAAAACCAACCACAGCCTACCCACAGGAAGGCCCCAAGGTTGGGGGTGGGGTAGGGGCAGGAGAAGGGGTTGGAACAGAAGAGGAACCCAGGGGTTCAGCAAGGCAGAGAAATGTCTGCAGAGCAGCCCCCAGCTCCTGCTCATCCGAGTTGCATGCCCACAGAGGTGGGCAGCAGACGAGGAAGGAGACCCACTCGGCAAGGCTCATCTCCCAGAAAAAGAGGTGCTTTCTGTCCCCTTTACTCCAGACCACACCGCTGCCTCATCACATGATCAGAACAGGGGACAGGAACTGGAAGAAAAACCACATTCCAGGGGAGGGTGCTGTGTGGCTGCAGGGGTGTGCTAGGGGCTGTGCTCCTGCCTTTGTTGCCTCCCAGGCTTCCTCACAGGATCCCCAGAGCTGGTCCAAGGCTCTGCCCCTGTCCCAGGCCTGTCCCCGGGGTGGGGGACGGTTGGAGGAAGGAAAATCAGAGAAGGGACAGTCCCAGGCCAGAACACTGTGGCAGCGTCCCGAGGACACGGGGAGCCTGGGCCAGCCCCCAGTACCTCCTACTGCACTCACCGCAGCCTCCCTGCTGACTCTTGGGGCTCCCTAGAGGAAGGTTCCTACTCTGTCTCAGGATAAGACCTATGAATGGGACATTGATGATCTGGACTGAAAGAAGGGGCATGTGGGCACAGTGGACTGGCCAGGGGTGCGCTGTGACTCATGTTGAGTACATCTGCAGAAACTCTAAGCAGACCTGTTCTGTGATGGGCAGCCACTTTATAGCCCCTTGTCCCCAGACTTAATATACGCAGTAGCAGAAGAATATCAATGATTTATCTTCTAATGAAAATATTTTAAATCCAATCCCCTTCCCCCTCCAGAAAAAAAAAAAAAAAAAGAGAGAATAAAAAATTAGTCGTATGACTTAAGTCATAGAGATAGACACAAGAGATGCCAGAGGGGACGATGCTAGAGAGACCAGGTATAAAATGGAGAGAGAGCAGAGGTTTGGTTCATTTCTCTCAATCTAGACTCCAGAGAAGCAGCTGCTGGAATTCAGGGAAAAGAAAGCACCTGGGAAATCCCAGGGGTCAGGCCACAAGTGGTGCAGCAGCTCGGGGGGTGTGTGGAGATGCGCTCCGGGCAGGAGACTGGCCTGGCACCTCCGGGGCCTGCTCAGGAGTGAGCCACACTCAGGAAAAAAGAAAAAGAAAGGGCTGGAAGGAAGGCAGTCCGCTGAAGAGGCCAACAGGTGTGGATTCCTATCTAGCTTTAGACTGAGACTCGGTTTCCCCAGCTGTAAAATGGGATCATCAGTCCTCACCCCAAACAGTGGCAGGGGACGGGAGGAGGGAATACATGTTGCGCAGCTGCATGAAGCCTGACATGGGGGAGTCGCCCCATAAACAGTAGCGGTGATTCTAGGAGATTTCAGGAAATTTTGTGCAACTTCCCCATGTTTGTTCTGTTGTTGTGCCCCTCCCCACTTGTTTCCCCATAGTAATCAGCAGTAAAGCTCCTTAAAACGAGAAGGATCTGGGGAGTACATGCAGAGCTGCACAAAAGAGGGAAGTTGGGGCCGCTGCATCTAGCTGGTGGCCAGTTTGGGGGGTGGAGAACCCCAAGAGCGGGGCAAGACAGCAGCAGCTGGATGAGCAGAAAGTAGATGGAGTGGCTGGGAAATGGTGGGGTGCTTGGACCCCCTAAAGGTCCCCTGAGGGATGTTACCTCTAATGTCACCCTATTAGCAACATAGGCGATGGGACAGAGAAGACTAGGAACCCTCTGATAAGGAAGTGACCTTGAACATTCTCACCCAGTAAGTCATGGCTAAAGATCAGAACATGGCAAATGTTCAAACAGGAAACAACAGTTAGCAAATTCTGGACCCAAGCCCTTGGTTGATACTTAAGTCCTGAAGGTCTGACACTGCTTGAAGTCAAGCCATAGGACCAAGCATTGGCTGCCTTTGGTTTCCTGGTGGCAAATACTGTCCTACACACTTGGAAACTGCAGGCTGAATTTCATTTATCAAAGGTCAAAATGGGCCATTCGTTGAGGCCCCATCTGCTGGACAGACACACAGAGCATTGCCAGATGGGCCTCTGGAGTGAACAGAAGTGGAGTCTAGGCTGTGTAGGCCCGGGGGTGGGGTGGTCTTCCAGCAGGGGCAGGAATACTGTCCGGGGAAGCCTTCCCTCCTGTGACCAGCTTCTCTGTCTGTCTGTCCCTAGGTGCCCAGGAGCTGGTGCGGATGGACAGGTAAGGCCCATGTGGACCTTGAGAAAACTTCCCAGGGCCAGATGCCTGGGAGGAGAAATTTCTGTGCAGTAGGGCCCCTGTTTAGCTGCCTAGCACAGCTGGTCAGAAGCACATCCGCCATCTGCTGCCGAAGCCTACACATCTTGTGCTGGTTGGCCGTTCTCCCTGCCACCCCTCAGCCAGTGAGCTGAGCTCTGATTTTGCTTGGATATGCTGTGCACCCACCTTTGGGCCTCAGTGGTCAGCCTGGGCTAGGACGGGGAGGGAGAATAAGCACCTGATCAGAGGCAGACACTGAAACATGCAAGGGAGGCCGCGGGGCTCCACCCAGACACACACCTGGAGCTGTGGCTCCTCCCTGCAGTGCACGCCAAGGAGAAAGCTGTCAGGTCACTGCAGGCCAGAGGCACAAGGGACCCAGAGTGGGGTAGCAGGCTGGGGATGAAGTGGATAGGTGTGTGTGTGTTAGAGCACCCTGGGCAGGATGCTGGCAGGAAGCCTGGCTCTCAGGATGTGCTCAGGGAATAAGCCACACTTGGGTACTTTGTCCCAGTACCTGCAATACCAGATTTGAAAGGGATAATTTTCAAGACAAGTCAAAGGAGTTCCTGTTAGTGATCCTGCTAGAATCTCAGAGTTGGAGGGCCTTCAGAGGTTATCTCACTCCCAACCAGGAAGAGAAGAGAACCCCTCTCCTCAGCTCAAGACAAGCTTTGGGATGTCCTAATGCCATTAACTCTACTGACCAAAGAGAAACTTGTCCCCAAACTCCTGAGGCTGGTGTCCTTGAAGTGCCTCTGACCCCAGGCTTCCTGGCTGGGGCTAGGGCTGAGGGCACAGCCCATAGGGAGGAACTGGGGTCTGTTCTGATGGCTACCCTACTGCCCTTGCTTAAGGAAGGGCTGAGAGTGCAGCCCATGGCCTTTTCTCTGTGGGCCTGGCTCCTCCCTTCCTGCAGGGGTGGGGGTGGGGGGAGGCTGCCGAGGCTTGGGGTGGGAGAGGCAGTGAGGGCAGAGACTGTACTTCAGGCAGCACAGACGACCTTCAATTCTCATTCTCTGGCAGCAACACTCAAGGAATTGAAAATCCCGGCTTTGAGGCCTCTCCACCCTCCCAGGGGATGCCTGAGACCAAGCCCAGGCCCCCACTATCCTATGTGGCCCAGAGGCAGACTTCTGAGTCTGGGCGGCACCTGCTCTCCGAGCCCAGCACTCCCCTGTCTCCTCCGGGCCCCGGAGAAGTCTTCTTCCCATCCCTGGGTAAGTGCTTCCCGACCCTCCCAACACCTTGTCCTGCAAGGTCATGATCCATGGCCCAGAGGCCATGAGCCTCACTCCCCACCCCCCATGTGAGTCCTCCCAGCCTCATGGTGTGGGGTTGGGGGGTGAGGGACAGAGGAGCCTCCGCTCACTTTTCTTCTTTCTTTTGCAGACCCTGTCCCTGACTCCCCAAACTTTGAGGTCATCTAGACCAGCTGGGGGACAGTGGGCAGTTGTGGCTGGGTCTGGGGCAGGTGCATTTGAGCCAGGGCTGGCCTTCCAGGTGGCCTCCTTGGCCTTAGCCCTGGTTTGCCTGCTCCTGTTCTGAGCCTAGACTCTGTGATACTCCTGATGCCCAGACCCTCAACCACTCTGGATGCTACATGGGGGCAGGGAGAAGATGCTGGAACGCTCAGCCCCTGTCCCAAGGACGTTGGGGTGTTGGGATCCCCCCTAGAGACCTGAAATTCACCAGCTACAGATGCCAAATGCCTTATATCCTAAGAAGTCTCAGAATTTCCAGCTCTGCAGCAGCCTCTTCCCTGGGACATGCCTTGGGACGTGCCAGCATGGATGGGACAAGATGGGCACTGGGCAGACTCCTGGTGTCCCCCTCCCAGGCATGAGACACAGGACAAGATGTGGGAGGCCCCTCCCTACTGTGACTGATCTGGCCCCCCCATCTCGCCTGAGGCTGCTCGTCTGTTAGGCTCCTCTTCACACCCACGGGGGCTCTGGGACCGGGTCTGTTCCCTGGCCTCTGGTGCCTTCCCCAGCTGCCTCCTATCAGCAATCGCTCAGAGGATCTGTCAACAGGTGAAGTGTATCTGGGGCTCCCACTGCCTGCATTCTGGACTGCAGAGTTCAGTGGCCAGAGGCCCTGAAAGGGGAAGTCCATATTGGGGCACGGTGGCCACTGTGAGCCAACTGGTATCTTGGGTAATCTGAGGCCAGGCCAGAAGTTGCGCCACCCATTGCAGTGAGGGAGGGCGGTGAGGCCTGCTGGGAAGGTGAGTGGAGAGGGGCTCCCTGGCCCTCCCTGTCCCCTCCTCCCACTGCTTAGCGTAGCAAGGTTGACCACGTAATGTCTTGTCCACACTGGGACACTTCTGAGTACAAAAAGAGGGTGCTTTTAAAAGCTACATGGCGCAACAGGTGCAAACCCTGTGGATGGATGGTAGGAACCGGTTTTAAGCCCCCTCTGCTTCTGAAGTGTCTGAGGCCTCGGGAGCCCTCCTCCCCCAGCCCCAGCCCACGGTCTTCCTTCCATACAATCCGTGCCTGGAGTCTTCACCTCAGAGTGACCCATCGGGTGGGAGGAGTGGATGGCGTGTTCCCACTCCACTCCGGGACCCTGCTCCCATCTCCTGCTTCCGGGCATGACCTGTTTTGTTTTTATACACGTATGCAAGGGGAGTCCTTTGTGGAATTGTGGCTGAAGGATTGTAGAGCATGGGAGAGGAAGGGTGGGGGGTGTCTCTGTATACTCTGGGTGGAAACAGGGAAGGTGGTGCCTGAGCTTGGGGAGGGGTGAGGCTGGGCTGGGCAACTCCCCTCCAGCCTCCAGTGGGACAGGACCCCAAGCACTGCAGAGGGCCAGTTCTAGTCTGGACATTGGTCTTCCAGCAGCCTACACTGGCTCTCCTGAGCTGGGCCTGGGTGCCAAGAGCCAGGTCTTTGGGCTAGGATGCAGGACCCAGCAGGCAGGGAGAAGTCTGCCCAATGGCCTGGGTGGGGAAGGATGGAAAAAGGGAGCAGTTCCAGGCTGTCATGCAGCAGCAAGCCCCTGGCCTGTGGCTGGAGCCGGGGAGCCCACCTGGACATGTGACCCTGCTTCCAAGCCCCCTTGTTAGGCCCAAGAGCATGGGCCACTATGGGCCTCCTGCTGTCTGGGGCTGGGCTTGGGGCTGGGGGCCTTGAGGAGAGGGTGAGCACAGACCTCACGACAGGACTGACACCTCCACTGGCCAGAACACCTCCGAACTCTGGTTCCTGCCTTGCCCCTGGGAGCCCCCTCTTCTCTATCTGCCACCAAGGACACTCAGTGCCAGCTGCCATAGAAAGAGGGTACTGCTCTAACAGCTCATGGGGGCTCAGAGGGGCAGGAGTTGGGTGGTGACACCTGCTCCCTGGTGGGGCCGGGCTGCCCCTAAGGTTGAAGGCTGAGCTCACAGAAGAATGTGCCCTGCCCCCAGGGGAGGCTGGCCTGGCCCAGCCCTCAGCTCTGACCTCGAGGCAGACAACTTCTAAGAATTAGGATGCCGGACCCCAGGCCTGGCTGCTGCCGTGTTGGGTGGGGAGGCCCCGCCACACTTCCTCCCCAGCTTCCTCCTGCAGCCTCGTGCTGGCTTCTTCTCTGGACCCTCACAAGTGAACGCATCTCAGCTTCCTGTTGGTTTCCTGTTTTTAGCAAAATGTACTCTGAGCTCTAGGCTCCATCTTCATCCATGACCGTGGGCCCTGGCTGCAGAGGCCCTACAGACACAGCCTTCCGTGTTGACCCAGGACGGGGGTGCCCCAAATGTCAGCCCTGGTGGCTGTGGGCTGGAGTGCATGGCACAGAGGGTCGGGAGGGACCCTGGGGCCTCGAGGAAGTTTGCTGCCAAGCAGGGAAACTCTGGGGTACTGGATTATTTGCACTGTCTGGGACCCTGGAAGGGAAATCTGTGCTTTTAGGAACTAACTTATTGTTGGGAGATCAATCAGGAATTAGGAGTCTTACCTATCTCCTGACGTTCACATTTACTAGAGACCTGCCTTTGTTCCCTCCAAGGGAGAGGCTGAGGGAATGGCATTTGACACTCCATTGGGAGAGGCTTGTGGATGCGTGGGAGCTGCTTGACACTCCCTAAAAACACGCCATGGAGGCTGCTGGTGACTGCTGTTGGTCAGGCTGGCCCTGCCCTGGGGAGCGTGTGGT